CCCGCATCCCCCGCATCGGCAGGCGGACTCTCAACCACTGCGCCACCAGGGAAGCCCTAAAGTTCATCTTTAATAGAACAGATAAAAGAGAGGGAATATTGCCCAGTGGTTACTTGCTCAGGCAATGCAGCATGAATCAAACCCAGGCTTAGCTACTTACTAATTAGGTGACCTATGGACCTCAGTTTCATCATCTGTAAGATGGGGTAAATATTAGTACCCACCTCCTAAGACTGATGTGAGGACTGAGAGTGAATACACATGTGATGGGCTCGGTACCTCTGGTACCTGCCATACAAAAAGCTCTTGATAAAGGCTAATTCTTAGTAATGAAACTTTTATTACAGTAAATTAGTTAAATCAGGTTTTATGATATTTTCAGTCTCCCCAGGCTAAGCTTCTATAGAATTTGAAAACATCAGAGGCTTGGGGTTAAATCATCAATATTTATTCTTTAACAAAATATCTAGCATTTTTACACTTCTTAAAAAAAATACTAATGCTTGGTATTGAGTCTTTTGGAATGCAACTTGAAATATGGTTGCTTTAAGATAACTGGTGAAAGATTCAGGCTATGGATAAGGAAACATTCAGTACAATGAAACAGCCACAAATTGGAACTGAAAAATATCCAACTCCTTATAGACATTTTCCTTACTCTTTACTTTTAGGGGAAAGAAGCAAATTCCAATAGGAGAGATATCACTGGACAGGAGGGTGGGATCCTAGTTCTGGGGCAGGTGTGACCCCAGGGAAGGGCTCTGGAGTCCCTGTGTCAAATAAGGTGATTTTGAATGGCACTTCAGGTCCCCACCTGTCCTGGAATCAGAGGAACTCTGCTTTTATCTGTTTCATGGCGGCACACTTAAGAGTTAACTGGGGGGGAAAGGGTTCTGCTGCTAAAAAAGAACACTGAAACCAGAGCTTCCGGGTCCAAAATGAGCCAAGTGAGCTATGACTGCAAACGAACGGTGGGGATTTAGCCCACAAAACACACCTCCAAGAAGCCTTTTCCAAACCTGCTTGCACAGCAGGGACCCTTGAGGTGGTAGCAGGGGTTCCCTACAAAGGGGTTCAGTGGGCAGTGAGTTTGGCAGGCGCTTCTCTTTGGTTAAAAGCTCTGTGAAAGCTTACATTAAAGACACTTTTTAACTTTCACTTTTTTAACTTTCAGAGCATGGGGCTCCATGGAACTGGCATCCCTGGCCACCATCGTTGCAAAGGGAAGCGCTCTGGAGTCTAGAGTAAGCTCCGGAAATCAGCACATACTTCACCGGCCCCTGCCTCTGTCCCACCTACAACCCCAGCAGAAGGCTTTTGAAAATTATGAGGCAGAGACCAAACAAAACCTAAGATCCAAAAGATTAAATTCCAAACAACTTTGTACTGTATTGCTTTATATGATTTCCCATCCAGACTCTAGTTCTTTGAAGAGTGAAGCCCCAGTACAGTGCTAAGGACCAGGAGTAGTCGACAGATAACTGCTGATTATTTGTGGATGCCTGTGAGGTCAGCACAAGCCTCTATGCCACGACTGCCATGTTTCCTTTACTTCTAATTTTTCTAAAAGGCACAAAATCATCACTCCAACACGAATTTTTAACTTGAAGCTACAAACTGTTCCCTTTAAAATATTTCTGAATTTGTGTGGATGTTGTCTTAAACTGTCATCCTAAAATGGGCAGGACCAGGGCTAACCCTGGGACTGGGCTAGGTGTACAGACAATAAATCTAGCCACAGGTGTCACCGTGTCAGTGTCAGAAGTCTGAGCTCTGCTTCTCTGAAATAGGAACTTTATATTACTTGTACTTGTAATAACATCCTGCCATAGGGACCTGCATTACCACAGCTTTTACACAATCCAGAGATCGGACATCAGCTTGTACTGTGAGGAAAACATCTCTGATCTTAATGCTCTTTTCCGCATTAAGATTACTGCCCCTCCTAAGAACAAATGAGGCAGTGGCCCAGGGAGCCACCACCAGCTGCTTCCAACTGGGAAATCATCCTGGCAAAATAAAAACCGATTTGTAAAACAAGTTAAGTTTTCCCCAGGGGAGCCCTAGTGCCAGCGGGGCTGCCATTCTGAACGGCTCACGATAAGGACTTGGCCATTGCCTAGAAACCTCCCAACACTGAGAATTGTCTGAGAAGGAAGGAGCTGTCACCTCTGGAAGTCACTTCTGGGGCTTCTTGGGTGACTTTTAAGTGAACTCGGTCTTCGAAGCACAGGAAACTGAAAGAGAACCTCGAGCTTGACGGGGTCATTTGTCAGGATGCACCCAGTCATGCCAAGGGTCAAAGAAATTGACAACCAAATAGGAGGGCAGGGATGGGTCTATCCAGCGGGACCTGCCACTTGGCACGCGCCCACTGAGTCGAAGGGCCAGGGGTGCCGAGATGCCGGGACCCTGAGGCCCCACTGCAGAGCAGTGCGGTCCCGTCGGTGCCTGGGTCCCCACCAGCACCCTCTGGGCCGGCCCCGCCCGTGGGCGACCTCGCGCCTGGCATGAACGAGCCGTGGTCCGGGGAGCCCCACCGCTCCCCCGCGGCCCCCACCCGCAGGGCGCGCGGGCCTGGGCTGGGGGCTTCCCAGCGCACTGACCTGCCGCTCCTCTGCCTGCAGCTCGTACGCCTCGCGCACCCGCAGCAGCTCATCCTCCAGCAGCGCCCGCAGCTGCTCCAACTCGAGCGCCTCACGCCGCAGCGCCTCCGCCTCCTGCGCGCACAGCCGCGTCTCCTCCTCGGCCTCGCGCCGGCTATCCTGGCCGCGCCGCAGCGCCTCCTCCAGCTCGCGCACTTCGTCCTCGTACAGCTGCACGGTCTCCCGCCACGACTCGGCCACAAGCAGCGCGTAGCCGTCGTAGACCTCCCGCATGCGCGGTGGGGGCGCGGTGGGGCCGGCGGCGCGGGCGCGGTAGCGCAGGGTCAGGCCGGCGGCGCGCGCGCGCAGCTCCCGCACGTCGCGTTCGTGGGCCTCGCCTAGGCCGCGGCGCTCGGCCTGAAGCCGGCCCAGCAACGCCTCAAGGGCGGCGCGCGCGCCCAACTCCTCCTGCAGCTCCCGCCGCTGCGCGTCCAGCTCGGCGTCCAGGCGGCCGCGGGCTGCTCGTGCCTCCTCGCCCAGCAGCTGCAGCTCCCGCAGCTCGCGCCGCAGCGCGTCGCGCTCGCCCTCGGCCAGCGCTGCGGCCCAGCTCAGTTCGTCTAGGTGCTGCCGCAGGCTGCGCGCCTCCTTGGCGAAGCGGGCTTGCGCCTCGGCCCACAGGCCCTCATACCCATGCCGGCCGCGCAGCTCCTCCTCCAGGAGCAGGTTTTCGCGCTCCAGCTCCCGTACCCGGCACACGTAGTCGTACAGCCGGGCGTTGAGCTCCTGCAGCTCGGCCTTCTCGGAGCCCGTTTGCAGCCGCCAGGACAGCATCTTGATGGTGTACGGGTCTCTCCCAGCCGGCCAGTTTCCTCCTACCCTGGTCTTGTCCCCTCTGCTGTGCCGCTCCCGCCGCACCGCCACTCCGGAGGACCGCAGGCTGGGGCGGGAGCTGGCGAGAGGCTGCACTTAACAGGCCTGGAGGGCGGGAATGTGCGCGGGCCACGGCCTCCAGCCAATCAGAGCGCGGCCCGGCGCGGCCACTGTGGCCGGACAGCGCCCCCTGCCGGAATGACTGTGGCGCCGCGCGGCTGTCCAGCCCAAGGCGTGGGCGGTCGTGAGTCCTCGTCGCCGGCTGTCGGATAACGGCGGGG